CAAATCATAAAGAGAAAAATATTATTGATTACGAATATCTAAGATATATTCCATAACTAATATATTCTCCAAATATTAACGAATTACGAATGTCTTGACTAATTCAAACTAGCAATAAGTTGCACTAAATTCTGTAAGTCTCCCTTAGTGCAATTGCCAAAGTGAAGTTTGAAGTTTTTCGTAAGGCTCTCGAAGTTATTGAGAAATAAGCTTGCACTAAGGGAGGCTGTCAGAATTTAGTGCAACTTATTGCTAGTTTGAATTAGTCTTAGTCAAAATATTCGTAATCAATTAATATTTGAAGAATATATTTGTTATGGAATATATCTTAGGTGTTCGTATTCCGTTAGTATTTTTTCATTTATGATTTGATTAGTAGTATATTTTATTTTATTCTCAAGATTTAGTTAGTTTATATTTTCTTTATTTGTAGATATTAGTTGGTAGCTTGTATCCTATTTAAATGCTGTGAATATCAATGAAGATAGAACCTTCAATCCCAATTCTATTTCTCATTCTTAACTCAGTATTGTTTCCTTGAGTAATAATATTTTCAGATTTATTCACACTTTTGAGTGGTAGATATTGTATCATCTTCTTTGCAAAGTTTTTGAAGGGTTTTATGCTGACGACTTATCTCATTTTGAAGTTATACTTATGGTTTTGGAACATTATTGACATCCGCCACTCTCCTGATAGAAGGTTTTCCATGATAAAGTAGGTTATGTTGCACTCACTAGAATGTTTTCCGGCAAGCCACTCTCTTGGCAACTTTATTATAGTGTATTTGTTGGGAAAGAATAGAAGGTTTTCAAAGGCATGGAAGGTTTTAGGGAGGAACCGAAGAATCAAAGTCTGCCCATTTAATAAATGCCTTTCTTGGGGCGTCGGAAAAAAACATGCAATTACTCACTGACGTTGAATCTTCCCAATTGGAGCCTCTCTTAGTAATTTAACTCCCATCTAGACTTATCTTTTAATATAGTTCTTAATTTCACCTATCCTTCAATAAAAGGCATAAATTTCATAATATTCACTAAGTTACTAAAAGTATAATTGGTTAACATAGTCATGGAGTAGATCCCCAAGGCTTAGATCATGCGTGAATCTCATTATGCAAAGAATTACATCCTTAAAATGGATCAAACTAAGCAGTAATATTTCCAAACATGAAAGAGATCAGAACAGAACTAATGCAGAAAAGATACATATCATCTTCAAATATAGTATCAAAGACATTAGAATGAGACTGAAATACTCACCTCTGTTTAGATAGCTTTTTATCATTCTTATCTCCATCAGAAATCTGATTGACACCTTCACTCTTCACTTCTTTTGGTGGCTCTTCCCCAGCCTTTTCTTCTTTTACCTTCTTCTTTTGCTTCTTTTTCTTTTTGCTGGCATCATTATCAAATTTCCAACATAAGAAAGTGAAATAACATTTACTGTTAAATAGCAATGTGGTTAAAGTTCAGGGATAAAATTACATTTACTGTCCTTACCCTACCAAAAATTTAACTAGAGTAAACCTGCTGATGGAAAATTTATCCCCATCACTACACAGGAAATTTAGAAGCCAAGGGTAATAATACATCAGTGGGAGAAAAAACATCCCAAACTTGCTCTGGTAACACCCTACAACTTCCCTCGAGCCCAACCAAAGAGATTAAGCTGTATAATTGAGTACTTAAATAATCTCACCTTTCCAAAAGATTAACTTGCTCATCATTTTCGACTTTTCTTTTTATGCTAGAAGCATCGTTGCCATCTTTTGCTTTTGCCTCCTTCACATTCCCAGTACTTGGGTTTTTTTGTTCTTGCTCAGATTCTAATTTCTGAATATTTACTTTGCTCTTGCTTTTAGTAGGAATTGGAAATCCATCTTCATCTTCACTTTCTGGAACTGCTTTTTGCACATTTCTTTTCAATACAATCTGACGCTGTGAGTTCCTATTGTCTTCAGAGTCACTAGACTTGTTTTTCTTCACTTTCTTGGCTCGACCATTGGCATCATTTGATTTTTCATCATCCACTATCTCCTCAATTACAACTAGCAAATATGGAAGAGGAAACAAACACTTGAATTAAACATTAATATTGTTCAAGGTCGAAATGAAAGAGTTCAAAAATGAACTTTGGATAAGTAAAAACGGTAAAGTTCGGCATGGCTGCACCCAAAAAGATATAGTAGCAACAATATACTAAAATCATAACAAGAAAGTCGTACAAAAATGTGAAATATACTCTGTATATTGCTTACTTATTTATTATTATTTTTTTTTTTTTGGGAATGAAATCGTACACTCCAACATATTACCAAATAAATTCCACAGGATAAACTTTTATTTTGTGCAAACATACCAAGCAAAAGCTGATGGGACACAAATCGCAAAGTAAAAAAATAGTTGGAAGAGAACTTTGGAAAATGGAAAGAGATAGCCAACGAACTAAAAAGAATTACGCCTAGTTCAAGACCTTGCTGGCCTCTCTCCTATGTTTAATAATCCTCATATTCCTCTTTTTAGTTCCGAAGCTCCCACTAAGTAGATAGAACCAAGGAAGACCATGAATCCTAATATTAGCATGGTCCTTAAGACTAGCAAAACAAATAAACAGGCTCTCCCAGATTGTGCTCGCAGAATCCAGTGAATTAAAGGAAGTCACTCTGAAGGTACCAGTGGATCCATGGAGGACCAAGATGCAAATACTGGTCACAGAACCCAAACAAGTCCCCTTGCGGAAACCATGTGAAGATTGTGTTTCTTGTCCCATGTCCCTGTTCCTCAAAAAGGTAGTCAATATCCGGTATGGATTCTTCAAAGTTCACAAGACACAAATTTGGGAATAATAATAAAGATCGGGCTCAATTTTGTAATTCTCTAATGGGTATTGAAGCTCTACAGAATCTTAGACCCTTGAAACAAAATGAAATTAAATAACCTTCTCAGGCAGTTCAGATTTCAAATCAAATTACCAAGTTGTGATATGGTCCTTCACCCTTGAAACAAAAATATCTAGTATAATAGCCTATTATCAAACAGAATAACTTTCTAACACTACTAAATGAACCACTGAAAAAACATGGATAAAATGCCATGCACTTGTACAGATAGAAAGTTCACAAAATTTTCAAATTACCTCCACTTTTGGGAACTGACGAATTAGAGAATATTCCAGGATATTCATCGTCCTCATCATCAATGAATTCATCATCATATTCATCCCCAGTGTCACATTCTGATGAATCCTCTGTATCCGTTTCAGCAATGTCCTCCCCAAAAGAATCACTTTGCATTGTAGTAAGAAAATGACAAAAGATCACGCCAAAAAAAGACAACCACATGCGTCCTCAATTTCTTACTGAAAATACTACTTCTCCTCAAGAAAAGAGATATGTAACTGTAGTGAAAAAAAATGTTAATCAAAGCATTTTATAAAAGGATACGACTCATAGTCATCCCTGATGAAATTTCCCTCATCAGCTACAAAATAACCAGAAAGATGGATGCTTTGTGGGCCGATAACTGAGAAGGCTACCAAATCATCTTCCTCAAATTCAAGATTCAAGGGGCATGATTCAATCTTATTCGGTATCAAAGAGCACAAAAAAATTGGACTCCTATGCCCAACAGAACACTGAATGATGCTTTTCTCTTTCGATGAGCCAGAGCCCAAAGTTGCCTAGGTGATTACAAAGATAGCAAGAAACTAATAATAAGTCATCCCAAAAAGTAGCAAAGAAAGAAAATTCCATCAAACAAACTATACATCTTCAAAATATTAAGCAACGAAAATTAAAATCCAATATAATTCATTGACTCGCAGCATAACACCACAACAGTATTATCAGATTTACAAAATCAAAAGTCATAATGCAAACTGAAAGAAGCAAACCCAAAATCACATGGGCCAAATCAAAACTCCGTCGACTTAAACGTTGTGAGAATAAATTTCAAACGAAGCAATATTACCTCACCATAACATACCCACTCCACACACACAGACATTCAAATAGAATATATATATATATATATATATATTATAATTATACACCTACAAAGCGGCGTCATGCAGGCAACGAACCTGAGTTACCCGGAGCTTTCCCGGCACATTATCAGAATGGTAAGGGTACGGTTTGCCTGGTTTCACTTCAATGCCTAGGACAAGCAAAAACAACAGAAGATACAGACATACGTGAGTATTAAAAGCATGCCAAAAATCCACACATGAGTGAACAGAATAAGAAAGAGCACAACGGGGTGATGTTAAACCATTTAACTTAAGTCACACAGTTGAAAACGATGAGCAGCAGAGAAGATGCGTAACCAGAGATCCAACGCACAAGTAAATGAGATAATGAATGAAGGAATTGTATTAGAAACATACCCCAAAAACCCATTTTTCAGACGGGAGAATATTGATTGAACGAAGCTTTCTCTTAAACCCTAGACGACGCCCGCTCTGCTCTCTTAAACCCTGAGCAGCCGCGTTTTTTAACGGTGCTGCGCGCCGTTCTTCACTTTGTCAACGAAGTAGTGAACTGTCGGATATTAATTTGTCTTTTATACCAAGTTATTATTTTTTTTTAAATGTATTTAAACTACTTATTGAAAATGATTTTTTTTTTTTTCCCCTTTTGAAGCCATACTAATTCTAACTTTCAAAACTAAATTTTAATTCGACAAATATACAATATATTTACTAATTATGTTAAGTTTAAATTTGCAATAATAATAAAAAATAACAATAATTATAATGAAAGTTATTTTCGAGTTAATTTATAAGTTTAGTTACTTGCAATTACTAAGTTCGAAGGTCCAAACAATCCTAGCACGCCCAACGTTCAGTTCAAACAATATCGCTCAATGCCCACTTGTGCAAGTGTGCAAAGAGTGCTTGTTCCTGGCAAATGGAGGAGAGCTAATATCTCACCCACCTTGTCACAGCATAGGGCATGATGAAGAAATCCGATACTACGACTAAAGAACATTTTGTCGATCGGGAATAATAAAATCTATATATCAGAAGAATCATTTTCCATTATTGAATATCAACCCTCGGACTCTTTCTATACATCAAATCAAAACACGTATCGAATCGGAAATTATTATTAAAATGTAAAGAACATTTTTTCATAGTTGGATAAAAGAAGAGATACACATGGTGGTGCAGGTACTTGCTGAATCAGTGGAGTAAATTGATGTTCACCTCATCATTAGTAAGCCCTGCCTGTGCGCTCGCAGCCTCCATCATCCCGCTGCGTATTTGGTCGCTTACATCTCTAACATGGCCCGGACCATGAGGAATGAACACAGTTGTGTTCTTGGATGAATTTCCAAGGTCCTTGATGGTGTCAAAATATTGAGTAATCAAGATCAGATCCATTACCTCTTTAGCTGAGGTACCTTCCACCCTATGGGAGAAGTTCAAGATATTCTCTCTCAGACCATCTGTGATTGCCTGTCTCTGCCTCGCCACACCGACCCCGCCAAGGTATTTCGCTTCAGCTTCAGCTTCTGCCTTTTTTACTAGGAGCACCTTCTCCGCTTCGCCTTTGTATACACTAGCAAGTTGAAGCCTTTGAGCTGTAGAAGAAAATGAAGTACTAGAAGCTGAGAATCCCATAATTATATGAATAGTCCATGCAATGTCCAGAAGGAGAGTAGGGGAAGAGAGACAAAGGGCTCTTCCTATATGATATGACGAGCAAAATGACCAAGATCACTACCTGCATTAATCTCATTCATTGCGCTGCGCACCGAAGCATCTGGTATTATATCGACCATTAAAATGTGCTCTATACTATATCCATAGTCTCCCATCACCTGATTCAAAATGTGAATATGTGTTGAAATCCTAGTGTCGGTCATATTAGGAGGCCCCAACAAAATTCTATATCTAAGATGCACCAAATAATAATAAGCTAAATTATGACGAAGATAAATGAGAAGCATTTAAAAGTTTTCCATACTCCAAATCAACGAATGTTATTGAAACAAATATCATGCACAGTACATTAAAATACTACATGTTTTTAAAATGGCTGACACTGAGATCCAGACTCTGCACTGATCTTTATATACATAATATATAACATGCTTGATCACCGGCTGTCCAGAAACCAACAAAAAGTAGAACCAAACCAATCCCAGAGCATTCAAACTCACCACTCACCAGCAGTAAGTACTTAAATCCGATACCATTCTCTCCGGACCAACCCTTCCTTCTTGTAAGGGCTCAAGCCCACCGCTAGCAGATATTGTCCTCTTTGAGCTTTCCCTTTCAGGTTTCCCTGCAAGGTTTTTAATATACGTCTGCTAGGGAGAGGTTTTCACACCCTTATAACGAATGCTTCGTTCTCCTCTCCAATCAATGTGGGATCTCACAATTCACCTCCCTTCAAGGCCAAGAGTCCTCATTGGCACACCACCCAGTGTAGATCTCACATCAATTGGAGAGAGGAATGAGTGCCAGCAAGGACCTGGGCCTCGAATGGGGGGTGGATTGTGAGATCCCACATCGGTTGAAGAGGGGAACAAAGCATTCTTTATAAGGGTGTGGAAACCTCTCCCTAGCAGACGCATTTTAAAACCTTGTGGGGAAGTCCGAAAGGAAACAGCCAGAAAGGACAATATTTGTTAGCGGTGGGATTGGGCTGTTACACTTCCTCTCAAAAGAAAAAAAGCAATAAAAAAAATTTCCGGCATCAAAAACTTTGTACAAGTTCTAATAATACCATGAATGGGCATAACTACCTATGAAATCATGGAGGGAGCACATACTATTGTGTTTAGACACCTCACAGAAGCATGTGCTGCAGAGTTCCTTTTTTCCTTTTCTTTTCCCTTTTTTATAATGAAAAGAATGATGTACAAGACATTAAGAAGGCAATGATGGTCCAAAACCATGGATATGAAACCCTGTGAAGGCACTTGATTCATGGACTATTTGGTATGGTGTTTGTTCATCCTCAGGTGTTATGAGTTTGCGCAAACTATCCCAAACCATGCTTACCTAAACCTACGTTTTAAGCATACTTCCCAAGTTACACTTAAGTTCTACGAATCGAAAATCTACTAAGTAAACATAGGCTACATTATCTCATACTTCTATAATTCATTTCTCCTAACAATCAAAACAACCCTCACAAATATTCAAATGATTGAAAGCAAAGAGAGGGAGAGGGGAATAGCAGGACATCCAAAAGCTAAAAGTCAAAATGTTTTTCTTGTTTAGAGGGGAAAATTCAAGTGAGGAGCAATCTAATAAAAGGTCAAGTCACCTTCTCAAGTTCCTCCGATACAGCTTTAGCAACTTCACCCTTTTGTTCAAAGAGTTCATCCAAATTCATTCTAGGGACAACGGCACGAACCACTTCAATCAATAACCAAAATGCATTAATAAGTAATAACTAAACCAAGAAAATACTTTGAAATTGAATTATAGAGCTAAATAGCAACTGTGAGATGAGATCGTATACCATCAAACACGTAGGCCTGAATCTGTTCTTGGGGATTTTGCAACTCATAAAATGCATCATGAGCATTTTCTTTGATGACCCGGTACTGAATTGAACACAGCAATTGCACAAAGACATTATCCTGCAGGAAGGAGATCAGAATTCGTGGTCATGAACCAGATTAGTCAAACACGCCACTTCATTCTTATTCAGAAACACATCATCTTCTCCTCGAATAATGCCATCCAAACCTCAGTTTTCATTTAGAGAAGGAATTTAGCTGTATGGCCGATCTCCTTTCTTATTCAATCTATTACATAAACCCCATCTACATTACCGCCAAGCTACAACACGATACTCCACAGAATACGTAAAAGCTAAGCAACGATCTAGATGTACTACTTACGAAGGATAACTTTAATCGACCCAAGGTCATCGGAATGATATGGGATCTTGCGAGCCATTTCGTTAAACTTTAATTCCAGTAAAAAAAAAAAAAAAAAAAAAAAAAAAATTATGAATTCAAATCAAATTAGCGAAGGCCACAACAAATTCATATACAACGAAGATGAAAGAAAGCAGAAGTATCGTAAAACAAATATCATTAGGGAGTCAAATAAAAACTCATGATTGACCACCGGAGGATAATTTTGAGAGACGAAAGGGGAGATACCTTGGTCTTGGTCTCAATACGAACATCAAGGGAGGAAATCCTAGTGGAGAGGAATCCGGCAAGGCACTGGCCTGCAAAAGGGTTGAAGAAATGGAGCCCAGGCTGAGCCAATTTTTCAAACCTTCCCCATCTCTCAACCACCCCCACACTCGCTTGCTCCACGCAGCCGAACAAAACACAATACGTATTACCCATCGGAATCTCCGTCCGCCTTCTCTGTAAAACCGCCGACGCTGAGTCCGGTAGACTTGCGAACCCCGCCGGTAAGTCAGCTGCACGATAAATTGATCGTTTAAACGTGGGACGAAATTTGCGTTCGAGAAAGACGAAGGATAATAAACACTTTTCTTTTTCTATACGCTATGAATAACCGACAATGCATACAATTTGACCCCTAATGGTTGCGCGCGTCAAAATATTAGGTTAAATTAATACAAATATTATTTTTTTTTTTTTTTTTTTTTTGCCTTTTTAAAATATAATTGAGAAAGATTCAAATAAGACCTCTAAAATTTTAATATTTAATGTATTTCCAAAATATTTTTTAATTTTAAAAATTTTCATTAATAACTTTCCACTCCGTTCAAAATTTTTAAAAAATATGTATATAAGTAGTATTTTTACGAATGATATTTGAATTTTTATGATTGAATCACTTAAAAAAAATATATATTTTATTAACATTTATAGTGACTTTCAATTTTGTAGGTCTTTTTTAATCATAATCTTACTATCTTTATGACCATTCTCATTCAGAATGTACCTCCATTTACTTGTGTGTCAAATGCCCGTCTGTATCTATCTTGGTTTGTCCCTAAACCACTGTGCTAGTAGGAGACTTTACACTCTGATATGATCGGTAATACTTATATGCTCAAGATTCAAATTATAATTTAGAATCTAAATTTGATATCTAAGGTAAAGGATAAGGTCCCGATATAGAGATTAAAAAAAGTAAATTTTGGAAAATAGAAGAAAAAACAAAAGAATATTTACATTTTACAGTCACCTCTCCGCTCTCAGCAGCAGCTGAGTTGTAACAGTAGCCACGTGGATATTTGAAATTTACCAGGCAAGATTCCGAAAAATGTCCTGTCACTATTGTTTGAACTCGTCAAACCGCCCACATTCGCAAGTGGCGGCCACGTAAATCAACTCGCCGACCAATCAACCACGTCAGCACTCAATTTGAAATCGACGACCGGACACCTCCACGACCGCAGCAGTTACGAATCCGCCGGAGCTCCTCCACGATCTCCTTGGCGTTGGGGCGGTCGTCCTTGTCCGCCGCCACACACTGGAAAGCCAGCTCTGCCATTGCCTCAACGCCGTTGATTACCTCGCCGTCGATACCCAAAACAGAGTCCACCACCTGATGAAGCTGACCCATTTGGATCTTCGACACTACCAGATCCGCCAACGTCATTTCTCTCCTCTCTCGACTCTGATCCACCGCTTTTAAACCAGAAATCAGCTCCAACAAAACCACTCCAAAGCTGTACACGTCACTCTTCTCCGTCAACCGGAACGACCGGTGATAATCCGGATCCAAGTAACCGGGTGTCCCCTGAGGTCCGGTGCAGACATACCCAGATGAAGCCGACGTCGTGTCTGAAAAAACCAACAGCCTCGAAAGCCCAAAATCCCCAACTTTGATTCTCATATCTTTCTCCATAAAAATGTTCGAAGAGGTAATGTCTCTGTGAACAATCGGCGGCACCACAGAGAAATGCAAATACTCCATAGCCATGGCGATTTGCAGAGCAATATCAATCCTTACTTGCCATGACAGAGATCCCTTCCGGTACAAGCTATTACAACCATGGAGATGGTCGGCAAGCGTCCCATTTGGTACATAATCATAAACAAGAATAAGCCCTCTCGGGTCGCTACAATACCCATGTAATCTAACGAGATTCGGGTGATTAATTGAAGAAAGAATCAAGATTTCGTTACAGAACGACTTGGTGAAGAACGCCCTGCCGGAAGGAGCGGCGGCGTGGTGCTTGTGAAGATACTTCACCGCCACTAATCGTCCATCGTTGAGCTGACCCAAATACACAGACCCAAATCCGCCGTCGCCCAGTTTCCTCTTCGGGTCGAATCGATTCGTCGAGGATTCTAATTCTTCGTAGGGGAAAACCGGCGGGAGAAGATTAGGTGAACGATGACGACTGAGGAACTGGGTTGTCGGGTCTACTTCAATGGCGAGAGATCTCAACCATCTCGACCGGAAAAAAGCCATCGTGACGGCGACAACCAGTAACAAGCACATCAACGCAAAAACAGAGGAGAAAATCGCGATTCTATTAGGATATGTATATCGAGTTTGAGCATGATAGCAAATGAAATGCCTATCTGGGTCTGATGAATTGAAGCCGCAAACACCATTTTTAGCTTTACAATCAGTACACTTAATAAAGAAAGGATCTTGATCTGTATCCCACTCGATTTCAAGCCCCAATCTAAGAATCCTGTCTAAATACTCCAACACCTCGCCTTGACAACCTTGCTCCAAGAACGACTGATGCTGGACGCCACATCCATGGAGCAAATTAAGTGGCTTCTTGATAAGACTACACTCCCACGGACAATGACTGCAGTTGGGAAGATGCGGCGGCGAACAGGGGATGAGAAGAGAGAGTCGAGAACAATACCCATCTGAGATTCGGAACGGGGAGCCAGAGAGATTAATCGAACGGCTGGGAATAGAACTAAAACGAGATAAACAGCGGTGGTTCGATCCATGGGCAGTGGAAGTGGCATTGCGTGGAAGAGGGGAAAGAAGGAGGGTAGTGGAGGTCGTATTGAAGCTCAGAAGAGAAAAGGAAATCCCATTAATGGTGAGAACAGAGTGAGGAGAAGAGCAGCGCACCTGAAAAGAAGGATGGCCGTGACCGGAAAGAGATGAAAATGGGAAAACGGGGTCGGAAGAGAACGGCGGACATGGAGAGCTGGAAGGGTCAGCGGTGGAAAACAGAGGAGATAGGTGGAGGAGGAACAGAACGACGGCGGAGACAGTAACAGAGAAGGGTGGAGAAGGCATGGAAACATGAAAATGGAGAGAAATGGAAGGGGAAGGAGATCCAAACCTGAAAGGCAAAGGAAAGGGAGTGGAAATGGGGACAGTGGAAGGTCACGTGAAGGCAAAGGGGGGGTTTTGGAATGGAAAAAAACAAAAGAAAAGGTTTAAAAGCAGAGCAGGTCTCGCTGCTGTGAGCTCTGCGCCTACAAACCCCAAACTTCAAAGTTTCTTGCTTGTTTCTTTCCTCATTGCTTTTGCTTTTGCTTTTGCTTTTGCTTTTTGGTTTCTGTGTCAATTTTTTCTCATAGCTTTTGCTCAAACTGTTGACCTAACTCATTTTGGGGTTAAACATGTGGGGGAGAGAGAGAGAGGCCCTTTTGAATTTTCTTTTTCATTTGTGGACAACTTTTTTTCAAACGTTCGAATTTACCATTTTACCCTTTTTAACACACAAAAAAAAAAAAAAAAATGTTAGAATTTGAAACCATGTGAATGTGAATTGTAATCATTTCTAGAATGGAGGGAAATATGAGGTGAGCTCATTCAATCTACCCATCCATTTGCTACCTTTCTTTTGTGGACTTTTCAAGCTTTTTTACACGCCTGTAAAAAGTAGATATTATATGTTTTGGTTTATTGTGAGGTTTTATATTGGTTAGAGAGGGGGAACGATATACGGGTCAAAATGATATCAAAGTCAAACACACCAGTCGTGTGCTGCGCAAGGACACTGGGCCCTGTCAGACACTGAGCAGTGTGTCAGCAAGGATGTTGGGTCGCTAAAGGAAGTGGATTGTGAGTGTTAGACGAACAAGACTCTCCACAATGGTATGGTATTGTCCACTTTGAGTATAAAGCTCTCATGACTTTGCTTTCAACTTCTCCAAAAAACCTTACATCAATGGAGGTAGTATTCTTTTATTATAAACTCATGATCATTTCCTAAATTAGCCGAACTGCGACTTTCATCATCCAACAGTGAGATCTCACATTAGTTGGAGATGAGAACAAAGCACTTGGGGGATTGTGAGATTCCACATTGGTTGGATAACGGAACGAAACATTTCTTTTAAGAGTGTGAAATCTCTCCCTGACAAACACGTTTTAAAGCTATGAAGGATAACGATGATACATAACAAGTAAAAGCAGACAATCAAAGTAGACAAACTAGGAGACATGCATGCTAACCATTCATTTGTTGGGGACCCTATTTAATGTGGAACCCCTTTTAATTGCTATCTATCTACGCATTGCAACTTGGACTAAAACAATACAATTTTGTCACGTATCCCATATTATTATGTAATTATATTTATTGGCTAAAGCAATCATTAGATGATATTTGGATATTACGCATGTACCCTCAGCCACAAACATACTAATAATAATAATAAAATATAATTCAATTTTATGCTTGACAAAAATTTTTAATTTTATTACGTACCCTCGCCTTCGGAGCCGCCATGGCCGGTACGTCTCTGCCACGGCGTTTAATTTTCTACTCGGTGCGACGGGGAAGAAGGCGCTGCAAACGAGGCATGAAAAACTTGCCGCCTGTACGCGACGGCGATCAGGTGACATTGGTGAGTTAGTGCGGCACTTATTTGAGGGCTAACCGCGTTACTCCGCCGTGGTCCACGACGAATTCCGCCCTCTCTTCGGCGGATTCCGATGAGTTTTCTGCCTCCGCAAGAAGTTCCCCGGCGACGCCCAATCTGCGCGCCGATCCTACACGCCCAAATCTTCCTCGTGAATATTCTAATTACCTTTTTGTTTGATTTTATTTCTTACTAAATAAATTTTTTAAAAAATGTCTTTTCAAGGATATGACATAAGAATTTCAACATTTTCATATAGGAAATTTATAATTACTAATAATAAAAAACTACATTAAATTTTTAATACCGTGTAATATTGTTTTCACGAACAAAACTTAATTTTAAAATAGATAAAAGAATTTAAATTTCTAGCGGTTAGAAATTACGACTCTCCACAATTGTATGATATTGTCCACTTTGAACCTTGAATTCACTCCAGATGTATTCCTTTACTTATAAACTCATGAAATCAGTACCACTATTGATTTAATTAAACATAATTAAAAAAAAATTATGGTGTTAAATACTTTGACCAAGTTAAAATAATTATTAATTATAATTTTCATAGTTTATAAATCCACTGACACAACTTGTCTTTATTTTATTATTTTTTGTTTGTGTCAGTTTACTTTAATTTTCTAGTTTCTTAATTTAATTTTAGTTTTTTTTTATAAAATTCAAAATGTAGATAAACAAGGAGTAGGAATCTTATTTTCACTTCTATTTTAATACTATTTAAAAAAAGAAAAAAGAACTTT